GTGTCACTTATAATAGCCATAGGCTGGTGAAAACCAAAATATATTATCTATCTCAGTTTAAGCGTGCCTTAAATTTTAGAAGAGGTTTTGAAAATAAAAAACTACGTTTAAAAGAACCGACTTCAAAAACAAAAACAAACGAAAAGTAAAAACTAAAAAGCAAAAAATAACTATTATTAGTCATACGTAGGAACTTACATACAAGGTGTTGTTTTAAAGCCGCGTCATTTTCTAGGAGGTAACTCGGCTATCGATTCTGAGTCCAAATCAATAAAAAAAATTTGTAGGTAAATATTTTTCATTTTTCTATAAATTACGGAAATCCGTAAGTGCGAACTACACGCCGCCTTCTTGTACCTAGCTTTATAACGCGACTTAACACACACAAACTCAAACACGTAATTGATATTATTCCTAATTCCATAAAACTCCAATAAGAAACATTGATGTCGCTTATTCTGAAATACTGTCGAATTTAAACGATTTATTATAGCCGTATTTTTTACTATTAGCCCGAAACTTTCTCTTACATTGAATCTTTATGACTTCTGTGACATGCCCCCGAGAAATGCCACGGTTTTAAAACTACACCTTGTATAACTTAAACATACCCACTGATAGGTGAGAAGTCGGTGCGAAAGATTATAGAAAAGATTGTAGTGGTTTTAAATGTTTAGGTATCGAAAAAATTAACAAATGCACTAGTCGCCGTATAATTTTTAAAAGTTCACTTCGGTTTCCCTGAGATTCCATCATCAGATCCTGACTTCATGACAATGGGACCAAATGAAAAACCTGCCCTTTCAAACAAAAAAAGAATTTTTGAAATCGGTTATCTCCTCCTTTTTTTTGGAGTCGGTTGACAAGCCCTATGTTAGGCCTACATGTCTGCCCTTACATCTAAAGAAGTAGAGGCGTGAAGAGACGAGTAGGTAACACAATAACAGCCCCACAACACCAGTGTATTGCTTTAAAAGTAGATAAAGGTTTTAGAAATTCTTCACCAAAAATAGTAAAGTCATGTAAAGTTGTACCCAGATTGAAAGCTTTGATGCATTCTTTTTATTCTCGTTGCAGGTTTTTATTAAAAACTGGAGTTTGTATGTAGTTGTAGGCTTTTAGAGATCCGCTGGAGTTTAGGAAGGGACTGGAATAACTGCAGACGGCAGCGTGGGCACGGTATTTTAGGGAATATTTTGGTAAGCAATGGGCGCCGACCATTAAGATACGAAACAGAAGAGTTGCAAGCGCGTTGTTAGCATAAATATGTATGTGAAATTGTATGTTTGTAGACGGACTTACGACACAGAAAAAAATCCTAGTGAGAACAAACAATTTTATATCTAACAAATATGTACATTATCCATCCTATATTTAAGCAGGTGTACATATTTCTGTACTAGGATGAGCCGGGTTTTTTTTAAGGGGGGAAAATCATCGAATAACTGATCCCGCCTGGGTGAGGCCGGAGGGAGTGTCAGACTCTTACTGACTAAACCACCGCGTTCCTTCTCTTGCACATCGAGCCGGAGCCCCGGTAACCCTTTAGCTTCTGCCGGGATAAGCATTGTCCCCATAGACACCAGAGGCGTCACAAATGCGTTACCTGCTTCTTTTTATATTTCGTTTATACCCGGAATCCTAATCACTCCAACATATTCACGCTTGACCGGTTCCTCGCTTCAGAATTCGATATGTCCGGATATTTTCCGTTGGTACGTGTATGAAATATGTCAGTTCGCACCGCGGCTGCGGACGGCAGACCGTTTCAAAAACATAACCCTTTTTGTCCCAAAACGTTTAGACAACTCTCACTGTGCAACGAACGGAATTGTGTCAATCTTATTTAGACCACGATACTGTAGAATTTAAATCTATACTTAATATATAATGCTGAAGATTGCTAATCGCAGAAACTACTCATTCGATTTGAGAAAATATTTCTGTGTTGGATAGTGCAAAGCGCGCATATCAAAACGCCTAATGTGTATCCAGTAGCTGTAGCCAAATGCCATTTAGCGCTTGTCTACATGTAGAATAGAAAACCAAATTATATGGAATTGACGTAAATTTTGACACTTGTCAGTGTTATCCCCATACATTTAGTTTTCTACTCTCTCTGTAGATTAGCGCTAAAGTGGCGTTTGGCTAAAGGCACAGATTTGATCACAAGGTTGTTATATTATATGACTGATTACCACAGACAAGAAGCTTTAACTTTTCTTCAGCAAACCGAAGAGTGAAAGCTTACCGTAAAAGGCAAAGAGTATAATAAGTATAGGGGATGTAATAGGTACTGTTAACTCGTCGAGTACCGGTTTTATAGACACAATTAAAGAACAATAGGTCGCGGTCACCGGTGACCGCTTGGTGTTTGACAGTTTAAACATGATCTATAAGAGCGTTCTATTCAGCATGTTCAAAAAGTTTTAAAAAATCGAACGCCTATCGATTCGCAAACATGTCTGAAATGAGCATGCTTATTTTAAACAACATTTCGACTTCAAGTCAATACTTTTCTCGAACTGTCAAAAACGACAGTTTTCTATGAATTTCGTACGAGATTGCGTATTGTGACGTCACGTTTTTATAGCTTTAATTAAACAGCATACTTATTTCTTAAAAATACGCTGGAAAATTATTAAAATTAAGTTAGTTCTAAAATCAATTAAGGAAAGTGTGAAAATTTTTTAATATTTTACTGTATTAATGATTAAGGAAAGTACCCAATTGACGCATGCCATTTTATGCTTGCAATTGTCCTTTTTAACAGTAGGTTACAGTAGATACCTTTACCTTAAGTCTTTAGTCGATACGTACGCCTCCCGCGGGGTATTGAAAAATATATTCATCTCTTCTATTCCCACAGAGAAATAATTCTTTATAAATACATACAGATACACTCATACATAACTTCATGCCTGTCTTCCATGGGAGTAGGCAGAGACTATGGAACGCCAATTGCTAGGATTGCTAGGTACATATTACCTACATATTCTTACTACCTAAGTACCTAATCTATAAAAATAAACATAACATAACATCACGCCGTTTATCTTTATATATTTGTATATATATATATATATCTTTGTATACCTACCTATTTAAACGGCGTGATGTGTACTACACTACTTTACAATGTAACACCCACTTTACACTGCCTATGTTATGAGTCCCATGTGGGGGTGAGCCTATTGCCATATACCGGGCACAATTCCAGACTCCGTGCTACCACTGAGAATTAAAAAAACAGTAATATTAACTTTTAGCATAGGCATGTTGTCAGCGTCTCTTTTCTAATTCTTCTATTTCAATTTTTCAACTCAATGTTTTTATTACTTCCACTGTCAAACCTTGATTGTCTTTTTTTTTATTTATGCTGCATCGTGCCTGGTGCTAAATAAATGTTTTTTCTTTCTTTCTTTCTAATACTTTGTCCGACCCGGAAATCGGAACCTTTGCCTAGCAGTCGTCGTACTTGCGACCACTTGGGCAATTAAAATAAACGAGGCAGTCTATTAAAATAAAGCATAGAACAAAACAGAACTAGAGTATATTGCCCTGTGTTTGCGAATGCAAAGATATCTAACGCAACAGTGAGAACGTTAGTGGTCCGCAGTGAGTGACTCGCGAACAGATAAATCGCATTTGTGCCTCTCTGACCGCTTCCTCAACTACACTCAATTAGGTTAGGTAGCGGTTTTAGTTATAAGCTGTAGCGGGGCAGGTATATTTTGTTGTTATTTTGTTAGGATCTCCTTTAGATTTTAATTCAAATTTTTTATGGTAGGTCACTCTTAATTAGTTAGCTTTAGTTTCGATCCCTCGATTATAAAATAAAGTAAACAATGGTACTTAGGGCCGATTTTTCAATTATCAGTTAATATACAACATATTATCTAATATTATTACCTGTAATTACCATACTTCGTGCGAATAATCATTCTTATTCTTATTCTATTCTCAACTGTAGAATAAAATTGGCATTTCACAGTTTTTATTATAGAAGAATTTTTAAATATTCAAAATTATTCCCCAGTTAAAATCGCTCGCCATACCATCGCATGGTGTTTTTTTAGTACCTACATATATTTTTTAGAAAACAAATTGAACAGAATAGGTACCCAATATTAAATAGAACAAAACATAAAATCTATATAAATAAAAATGAAATTCCGTTCGTTAGTCTCGCAAAAACTTGAGAACGGCTGAACCGATTTGGCAAATTTTGGTCTTGAAATGTTCGTGGAAGTATAGGGAAGGTTTAAAAGGTGAGCAAAAATTTCAGGCGGTACGAAGTTTGCCGGGTCAGCTAGTAGAATATATAAATGAAACATCCGGGTCGGGGATTGAACCCGAGTGTCCTGCGGGGAACGCTTCAGATTTCCCAACTATGTTATTTAAATGTTACACGTTATAATGAAAAGCATCGTACTCTAATAAGGATTTTTATCTGATGAAAATTCGAATAAAACTTAAATAATACCCAACCCGGGTACTAAGCTGAGGTTTCTTAGTCAGATGTACAGTCGAATAAATGATTTTTCTTTCTTTCTTTAGATATTTGTAACATCGTCGACCAACAATGTGAGTAGAAGCTCCTCTCCCATGTAAAACACTTACCGATGCTGATGTCAAAAATCGCTACATCTCACTAATTGCACTAGACACCACGCTCAAACGAAGGCGGCAAATAGTTCGCCATCCATTGCGGGCGAAAAGAGAAAACTGGTATAAATGAATTAAGATTTTAACTCCGCCAACGACCAGCTGAATTAGCCTTATTCAGTACGAACTCACAAAATAGTTTATTTTTAGTTAAAATTCAGTTTACGTTCAAATTCTGTTTCGGTTGTTAGTTAAAAATTATTATTCGGAATAATGAATGGGTTTCGTTTGGATTTTGGCTTTGAGCGGTGAATTTTACTGCGGGTGGATAGCAAAAAGACTAAAATAAGGTCGACTTGTATTTAATTAATTTCTTTTTTATTTCATTATCGTCATAACTCCACATAAGTCGCCAAGTTTGTGACACCACATCTGTTCAAACCTCTTCGGATCCTGAAAATAAACAGTAAATCATCATTATTAACAGTGGTAGGGCTAGTTAAAAGCAACTTGAATAGACCAACTATGAAATTATCATCATCATCATCAACAGCCGGAAGACGTCCACTGCTGGACAAAGGCCTCCCTCTTAGTGCTCCACGTCGAAAGACAACCCGCCACCTACATCCACTGGCTGGCTGTGAAATGGTGACGTACATACTGCATTTCATCTAGTATTTGTATTCAAAAAGCCCAAACTTATAAAAGGTGTATTTTAAGAAGGAATTCGATTCCACTCGAGTTTCGAAATGAACAACACTTTATCTATTGTCTAAGTTATTTTATTTTATAGAAAAGATCGGCAAACGAGTAGACAGATCACCAGATGGTAGGCTATTGGAGCTACCCATGGACACCTGGAACACCATGACCAGAGTTACAGTTGGAAGATAAAACTCCGTCCTCTCTTACCTCATATATCCGTTCTCTCCCCAGTTCTTGCCCCACCAGTTGAGAAGGATCCAGTAGTCCGGCGTATAACCCACCAGTAGCATCGCATGGTTCAGTTGCCAGGATGTGCAGAATAGGTCATCGTAGATGCCGCTCCTGAATGAAGAAAAAAAAAGAAAGTAAGATGAAAGTGACGGTAGAAATTGGGGTGCGCTGGGCGCGCAAACACAAGTAGCCAGTCAAGTTCCTCGTCAATCAGTTACGTGAATAAGCCGTTAAACCTAATACATTATTTTAATTTTATTGTACTTCATTATCTTCACGTAAAGAAAGAAAACACTTGTTTTTTGTGTAACTCAAAAACACCACCACGGTGCAAAATATGGCTTTTTTTGAGGGGAATCATCCAATGACTTCTCCCGCCAGAGTGAGGCGAGAGGGAGTGTCAGACTCTAATTGCATTTCGAGCCGAAGCCCCGGCAACCCGTTAAGTCTTCCGCGGCTCCGGCATCGGCCCTGTTGGGCACCATCTATGGTGGTCTGATGGTTCCTTGAGGCGCACGCGGAACGCGACGCGCCGTACGCCCGGGTCTGGTTCTGGTCGGGCGGCAAGTCACCCATGCTCGCCGTCCGCAGTCCCGCGCTTACGGTGGCCAGAGATCGTCTCGCGATCCCCGACGCCCGGAGTGTCTCTCGCGACACGGCCGGGGCCTGAGGAGGTTCGTTCCCTCAAGCGCTCCGCCTCCTCCTTAGCTCCTTAGCATGACTGCAGAAGGGTGCAAAATATGGCTAGCAATTAGCTTAATGCTGTAACCTGCCACGAAGACTGTAATTCCATTAGTGTTGCGAGTGTCTTTGGGCAGTTATATGCCCATCAGGTAATAGGCTGCTCGGTTTTCACCTCATTCCATCAAAATGTTCTAAATATTCAGCCTCTTAAACTGCTACTAACCTGTAAAGTTGGAAGGTAAACGGTGCAGCGTTGACAGCCACGGCTAGAGGTCCGACAGTAGCTAGGGCGCGTTCCACCGCCTCCTCATCTCCATAGGGTAGTGTCGCCCATCTCCGAGCACGGACTCTTACGAGGAACTTATTGTATTTACACGTACTGTCCTAAAAGATATTAAACACATAACATAACATCACGCCTTTGAACCCTGAAGGGGTAGGCAGCACATTACTGTACAATGTAACTTCCACTTCTCAGTATTTATGTCATGTGTCCCATGTAATAGGGGGTGAGCCCATTACCATATACCGGACACAATTCCAGACTCCACACTACCTACTACTGAGATTGTTTTTAAAAACCAAGTAATACTTTTCCCGATCTGGGAATCGAACCAGAGACCCCTTACCCGGCAGTCGCACTTGCGACCACTCCACGAACCAGGTAGAAGATATTAAAATGATTTGATGAATCTTCATTAAAATCGATATCAGCCTGTGTCAGTCCATCGCTACACTATAAATCTTTTCTACCAAAGAAGAGTTATCCATTTATCTTTGCGCTTGTCGCGGATTGGTATCGCTGTTTCTAAGGCGCAGGTTCATCAGAACCCCGTGTTTGTAAAATCTTTGGTACTGTTCATTGCTACAGATTGTTAGCGAGACATCATTTCTAAGCTCATAAGGAAATCCTTAGTATGAAAAATTATTAATTTGACTCTGTTCAACAAGTCGTTGGGAAGTTGCGTGGGTTCAGTTGCCGTACGAAAGTTGAAAGAAATAAAATGAGGTTAGGAAATGATATTGTGTCCATTTCTTAAAAAATACTGTACAAAATGTCATTTAGAATCAAGAGGCATATACTATATTTTGTTACTTTCCTCGGTTTTGCTACTTACCTTCCCAACATACGGGTATTGTGACTCTGTGATCAGACCCTCTCTAGCGGCATACCGGAGCGCACCGCGCAGCGAGCCTCCATCACAACCCGCGTTACCATCCTTGGAGCTACAGTCTATAATCTGCTGAGGACTGTCGAAGAGTTTCATAAGTTAAATCATTCATTTAGACGAGTTTGTAAGTGGTGTATTGTCAATTAACTAAAATCGCGGGTTACTCATGTGAATAGGTATACTGAAAGAAGCTCTACTAGTTTCGAGCCACAGAGGAGCTCTTCCTCATGAGAAGCGTGTGCGGTCGCGGCGAGGTCGCATAGCCTACTTAACGCCGGGAGTACAACTAGTAGTTTTTCTCAGTATACCCGCGATTTTAGTTAATTTAGTAGCTATGTCTCACAATAGTAGTTATTATAAAAACATAGATATATTCAAGTATATTGTCTTTACACAGGGGTATTTATAAGAAGACCTCGCAGGACCGTATATTAGGTACTAGTAGACATCACTAGGTGCAATAACTTTTGTTCCACATTTTTTCAAAATTCGTCAAATTTTGGTAAAAAAATGGTTCTTAAAAAAATTTAACATTTTGATTGAACGCTTTAAATGTTACGAACACCACAAGTTATGAGTATAATTACATATTTAAATAAATATAAATGTATATTCTAATCGAACACGCATGTGAAAGATACAACTTATCTAACTATAGTATGTGTGTCATCTTTTACCTAAGTTCTCCCCAAAACCCGTGCCGCCTATAGAGCTGGGCTTGCAGCGCGTGGGCAACAGCAAATGCGTAGCATGCGCCACACTCATGCTGCTGTTCCAATTTAGGTTTGAAGCCTTTACTTCGCCAATCAAACTGTGAACATCAATTAAGACCTCATTAGCACGAGAATTTTAACCCGCGTTAAAAAGACTTCACAATAGAAAAAACGTAAATGCACCTGCTAGTTAAGCATAGATAATAGGGTCGATGCCTAATTTTTATTTTAATGTCCGTCTGGTAGATTATTTCAAATCATTAGACACGTATTTTTTATTTTCTTACAGAAACGAATACCTACTTTCGACGATATATTGATTTGAAATGTCGCGTGACGTCACTTCTATGTACCTACATTTTATACGTAGAAATGACGTTTTAGCCCCCACTCCTAAACTTTGATTCGTTTTATCTAAGTATTGTTTTATTATACGACAAAATAAAAAAATGCGTGTCCAAAATTTTCCATATTATCTAACTTACGGACTAATTACATTCTTAATTTTCGTACCGTCTTCATCCATATTGTAACATTGGATGATTTCCCCCCTCAAAAAACAAAAAGGATAGATGATGATGATGATAGCGATGAAGCTCTCGTGCGAATGGGGCAAGGAAGTGGGGATCTTAGAAAAAGAAATCACGGATTTGATTCCTGAGTATCTTACGTTTACGTGTTTAATTTTTTAGTTTTAACCACGTAGGCGGAAAGCTAGTGTTTAAATTTAGGTACTCACAGATTTAGGTACAGCATTATGTAAACTGTTGCGGTATGCAGTCTTGTGCCTATCTTCTGCAGGATCGAAGAGCGGGATCGTGCGAAATAATTTCAAAAATTTGTCGAAATACTCCTTTACATCCTAAAATATTTGTTAACATATATAAAAACATCACGCCTTTTCATCCCTGAAGGGGTAGGCACACACTGCACACAGAGGTAACAATCACTTTTCACTTTTATGTTATGAGTCCCATGTAATAGGGGGTGAGCCTATTGCCATATACCCGGCATATTTCCAGGCTCCGTGCTACTACTGAGATTTTTTTTAAAACCCTGTATTCCCTATAACCCTCGAGACCCCTTGCCTGGCAGTCGCACTTGCGACCACTCGGCCATCGAGACAGTCATCGAGGAGTCAGTCATCGAGAAAAGATTATGGTAAACGACTTACAATTGCTGAACAAAAAGTTAGTGACTAGTCAGTCAATAATTATTATCACTATCGACGAAATCGTGTGAAAATAGTCCGATGTTTTTGTTTAGGTAATTAAAGAAACTATAAAGTAAAAATTAATACCCAAAAATTACGAGTAATTGCGAAATTGAAAAAAGAATTGAGACATAGTTTTTTTTCTTGTAAAAAAAATATTTTCCTGCTCAAATAAGGTACTATGGGGTTGACGTATTCGTATGGATACACGCCTATAAAACCCAACAAAAATAAAAGGATAAAAAAACGTTATGCTAAATACCTAATTCATTTTAGGATTTAGGTGGTTGGTGAAAATGGCGAAGGGTTTCATCACGATGTTTACCGTCACCATCATATACCTACCATGTACCTACGTCAAACGTTGATTAGCTGAGATTCAAACTGTTATAAGATTCATACGTAGTGTTGTATCGTATTAATGATCCCTTTAATGTGTCTCATTAATATAGAGTGTCATGTTTGTAATTATAATGTGGATGTACAGTCCGCCAAATTATTTAGTACCTATAACGCATGTAAATGGAACGCTAGGTACTGAAAAACAAGATTTGAAGAGTTTACGGTAAAAAATGTTTTTTTTTTTTATGTAATCATAGTTGTGTAATCAACAGCTCCAGGCTGACGTGGCATGATTTTTTTTTTAAGGGGGAAAATCATCGAATGACTGCTCCCGCCTGGGTGAGGCGGAAGGGAGTGTCAGACTCTTACTGACTAAAAACCACCCCGTTCCTTCTCCTGCACGTCGAGACGGAGCCCCGGTTACCCGTTAGGTTCTCCGCGACGACGTGGCATGAATAACACGTGAAGAAAATCCATATCTATATATCTATATACAGTGAAACCTGCTTAAGTGAGACATCAAGGGACCTGCAATGTCGTTTCACTTATAGAGGTATTCCACTTACCCAGTGTCTCAGATATACAGGTATAAATAAATATCTGTCTCATTTACAGAGGGTTCCATTAATATAGGTGGACTTGGAATTACGTGTGGAATTTGTGGGTAGAATAAGAATGAGTAAATAAACAATGTTATCTCAGTTACAGAGGTTTATGCATATAAAATTTACTCGCGGTCTCAGTTACAGAGGTAACTATGATGATAAATCGAAAGAACAAATCCCAGATATAGAGGTTTACCTCGTCCCACTAACAGAGGTAATTCAGTGCCAAGTAATTGTAACAGTGTAATTTATGCCTGCGTACACAAAGCGGCTGAAAAGACGAGACTTCATGGAACTTGGCTACCCAAACTCCTAGGCTGGCCTCGAAATAAGAGACTGATCTCTTAATGGAGAGATTCGTCTACAAGTGAAATGACGTCCAAAAAATTTGCTCATGGTCAAGAGACCGATTGCAAATAAACATACAAAAAAAAAAAAAAAAAAATCAGTGCCAAAGTGTTGGGACCTCAGCATGAGTTCCAGTTATGGAGGTTTCTCACTTATCCAGGTCCCACTTAACCAAGTTTCGCTGTATATAAATAAACATGAATTTCCATTCGTTAGTCTCGTTAAAACTCGAGAACGGCTGAACCGATTTGGCTAATTTTGGCCTTGAAATGTTCAGGAAGTCCAGGGTTTAAAAGGTGAGAAAAATATTATTAGGCGATACGAGTTTGCCAGGACAGCTAGTCGATTATAAAATTTGTAAAAACATTTTTTTGACAGCTTTTTCGTGAGCGTATTCTTTACACCCTGTAAGGTATAGCTAAGAAAACAAAGATCGATTCATTACATACAGAAACAGTAGCTATTAATCCTTATAAGTAAAATTATCCTAGATATAAATCTAGATACTAAATTGTATCGAAGTCTAATATTTATTACCATTATCTTTTCTTTTATTTAAACTTCAAAATTTTATTCAAACACCAAGCGGTCACCGGTGACCGCGACCTATTGTTCTTTAATTGTGTCTATAAAACCGGTACTCGACGAGTTAAAAAAAAACATTACCCTACACTAATATTTGACCACACCGACCGTGCATTCAAATTTTTTGTCATATTTATGCATTGGCCGGCTCATTAACCAATCAAGGGTTACTCTCTCTGTACTGAGTCAATATTTATGATCTTACAAGTTTACCAAATATGTGGACTAACTGTACATAAATAGTTACTTAACCGACTATGGAGGAAGGTATGTATAAGTTACATTTGTGATTATTAGGTGGAGTAGTCAACTTATCGTCACATTATGGTGGTAAAAAGGAATATGATTTCATGAATATTCCATGGTACACTTTATTTATTCCCGATTGCAATAACCGATCTTTTCAATTGAAAATAACAGTTTACATAACACATAAATGAGGCAGAAATGCTCTACTACCAAGCTTTACTTTCGTCATCATCAACAGCCTATAAATGCCCACTGCTGAGCAAAGCCTCTTCTCACACTGAGAAGGTTTGAGCATTAATCACCACGCTTGCTCAATGCAACCTGCATTGATCGATTTCAAACTTATAATTAGAAATTATAAACCCAGGTTTCCTCACGACGTTTTCCTTCACCGTTTGTCAGTGGTGTCTAAATAATCTTAGAAAGAACATATAACTCGGAAAAAGTCACATTGGTACTTGCCGTTGGTGGGTTTCGAACCACACCCTCATGCATGAGAAGCGGGCGTCTTAAACCTCCGGACCAAGATGAGCTTTACTTAGCTCATGAATAAGAGTTTCGTTGACTTGAAACCAGTACTTACCTATTTAGACCTTATTTTATGAACAAATGGTTTACGTGCGCAGTTAAAGTAACCAGCGTTTGTTTTTTCTTTAAAAAATGTTGCCCTACTCTACGATTTTCTCCTGTATCGTGGGTCCTTGTTCAAATTTTGTTTTTCAGTACCTAACGTTTAACAAACAGACAATTCACATACCTTTTTTTTTTGAGGGTGGAAAATCATCCAATGACTTCTCCCGCCTGGGTGAGGCGGGAGGGAGTGTCAGACTCTTACTGACTAAAAACCACCCCGTTCCTACACCTGCACTTCGAACCGGAGCCCCGGCAACCCGTTAAGTCTTCCGCGGCTCCGTATCAGCATCAGCCTTGTTAGGCCCCATCTGTGGTGGTCTGATGGCTCCTTGAGGCGCGCGCGGAACGCGACACGCCGTACGCTCGGGCCTGGTACTGGTCGGGCGGCGAGTCATCCATGCTCGCCGTCCGCAGGCCCGTGCTTACGGTGGCCGGAGATCGTCTCGCGATCCCCGACGCCCGGAGTGTCTCTCGCGACGGCCGGGTCGTGAGGAGATTCGTTCCCTCACGCGCTCCGCCTCCTCCTTAGCTAGCACGACTGCTTCGCAAAAGGAGGAGACGGCATCCCTGTCCCACAATTCACATACCTACACACGACACCCAGACCCGGAACAACAATTTGTGGATCGCACAAAGTTGCTCCGTGCGGGATTCGAACCACACGTTACGCTGCAGCCAGTTGGCCAGTCATCGTTTGTTGACGTTCATGTGCCATTCCGGTCTAATTGAAATACCTAAATGATTTTGACTTTGACTTTGACCAACCGTGCAGTCGATGTCTTACAGTAGTTACCTACCTATTATACAAAAACTATTAACTTAATAAAATTATAATTACCAGATCTCCAAATAAGTTAAGATGCAGTGAGTACGACTGTTTTCCCAGCAAAAAGTCACGGTTGTGTTGAGCCACTAAGTATAGATTGTCAAGCCATTTCGTTAGAGCCTCTAGTTCGTGATGAGGTGTCGCATACGCCTTTTTATGGACGGACTGAAAATAACGTCTGTAATTAATATCGATAGCAAATTGCATAGCCCATAACAGTCTACTATTGGACTATGAGTCACTTCTACATCAGAGGGATTGCCATAACATCACGCCATTTATCCTCAAAGGTGTAAGCAGAGGTGCACATTACCGCACTCAATGCCGCTTTCCCCTATACTTACTATACTATACTCTTTGATGCCGCTGTACAATGTAACACCCACTTTTCATTATTTATGTTATGAGTCCCATATTAAGCACCGCCTTAACTTCTTTTTAACTAGGATCTTTTACCCACCTGTCAGGCACAGAAATTAATGTATTTTTTAAGGGGGAATATCATTGAATAACTTCTCCCGCCTGGATGAGGCCAACTCTTGCTAACTAAAAACCACTCCGTTCGAGCACTTCGAGCCGATGCCACGGTAACCTATTACGTTCTCCGCGGCTCCGTATCGGCATCAGCCCTATTGGGCCCCATCCGTGGTCTGATGGGTCTTTGAGGCGCGCACGCACTGCGACACACCGTACGCTCGGGTCTGGTTCTGGTCGGGCGGCGAGCTACCTAAGCTCGCCATCCGTAGGCCCGTGCTTACGGTGGCCGAAGATCGTCTCGCGAAATAGAAATTACGTCTAACCCCCATATTTATGTAGAGGAGGAAAGGTCCAGCGGTGGATTAAATTAGAGTGAGGTTACCGGAGGCCCATTTCCTCTCCTCTACAATTCTCAAAAATATCTAACCCTCAAAAGGCCAGCGCACTTTTACGCCTCCAAAGAAGCAGGTGTACATTTTCACGGGCGGCGCAGATTGCTTACCATCAGGTGATCTATCCGTCTGGTACAATTAGGAACAAAATTATTGTGACGGGTTGTATTCATATTGATAATGATAATAATAAATGAAAGAAAAATTAAAACTCTTACCTTATACTGATGCCAATGCCAATCAGGTAACTCAGGATGAACAATCAATCCATTCAGTATATGCCTTTGAACAAATTCACTACTTTTTTTCGTAGAACACTTAGTTACATTCAATGCTTTCATTCTATCACTATTGTTCCCAAAATTATTCGCTGTTCTTTCAAAAAAACTTGGTTTGCTAAAATCTATACATCTTGGCCGTACATTATTGTTATATTTTATTTTATTTATAGTGTTATTTGCACAGTAAGTTGTGGTATAAAGTTGTAGTATTAAAATGATTTTTGTTAAGTTCATTTTGTGTTCAATCACTGTATAATAATATTATTATTTCTATTAAGTATTTTTGATATTCGTTTTCTTACTTTTAATAACTTTAAATACTTAGGTATATGTCTGTAAACTTAAGTTCTGTAGAATAAAGATTACACAATATATTGGAATGAATATTGTATTTTGCTGATCAAACAAAAAGTTATACCTATATAGCAGTTGAGTTAGCTAATTTACCAAATATGTGCATCAACAAAATTATTGTTTCGTTGGTCCTAGTTAGGTACCTATGTATACGTAAAATATGTTGACTTTTGACCTAAAACTAAAGTAGCTATTATTACTAAAGCGTTTAATTTTTATATAGCACTTGTTTTAATAAAATTGTGGTCGATATATTATTGGCCGATCACCTAGCCGATGGTGTGACGAATTTACCAATCACATTGGACTCTCTGTTACGAAAGCCCTGAGAGAATCCGAAAACACGACAAGATTAAGAGAATACCATAGATAGCAATGACAGGCCTTCAGAAATGAAGCAAACGATTAAGAAGATAATATTATTATGAAGTCGCGGATTTTACTGCGTCGGTGTAAATTATCTTATGAGCGGTTTCACTAACCAGTCCTATCCAACATATTCATAGCTTACTATAAGTTACTTAGGTGTCACTTATAGATAGGTAAAATCCAAAATGTCGTTAAATGCCACATATCTTAGGGGTTCCTTACAATGTAGGGGAGGTAAGTGTAAATGGCCATTATTGTATTCTAGTATTAGTACCAATTTTGATTATTATTTCTGTTCGAATTCTTTATATACGACCCAAAGTTGAGTAAATATGTTTTATATGTTCTATCATATGTTTTAAGGAGATATAAATAAAACGAATAGATATGTTTCGTCTAGAGAACTGTTTCCTCTGCCACAACAATATACATTCACTGTTATTCATAATTTACAATATATCTTTTATACTATATGTATATATCAATCGCTCATACACTACATAGCTTGGTTCTCTATATTAATACAAAAATATATAATAAAAAAAATATACATACATGTAGTAAGAAGCGCTCCAATTGGTTGATACATTTACCAATCACAACACTCCAAGTATGTACTCCATAATATAAATTTGAAAATAACCGTCAACGAGTTCGAAATGCTGTGATTGGTCGATATAATCATTTGATTTGAGTATTTTGCTTATTCTATAACTTTGGTTTATGGAACGTATATCAAATCTGCGATATTATTTCATATAAAAACTATATATTATTTTGTATATAGAAAACCCAGCTATGTGAACCTCTCCCCTAATATACAATAGACACTATGTTATACCATAAAGGCGCTTCCGTTTACTTCTAATGTGCTCCTACAGAAAAAACATCTTAATAAGTTAATAAACGTCAAGTTATAGTAAATTATACTTTTTACCTTCGTTCATTATAAACAAATACTTTTTTTAAAACAATATATAGATGGTTAAACAATTAAATCTCATAACCAAGAGAAATAAAATACGTTTTTCAAAAGCCGAGTTCGAATTGAATGTGATGTATGAAGATAAACTCGACTTTTGTAAGACGTCTTCTCTTAATGAACTAAAAACTTTGGTGAAAAAGAACTTGACACAAAGCAAATAAGAACGATATTGGGCTGGCAGGACAATGAAAAAATAATGAATGATGAAAAAAATAAGTAGTTTGGCGAATGATGAATGAACGAACAGATATTGTTGTTCACTGAACCAACCCAAGTACCGTTCACTTTGACTGATATTTACGTGAATAAAAAAAAGATATTCGCTTATAATGAACGAGAAATCTTATTACCATGACTGTAGAGTGCATTATACGTAAAAAATTGTAGAAACGTGCACGATTGACCTTTTAAAATCGATTGCAGATTCCATAAAAAATGGCTGTTATGTGGTGTACATTTTAAAAGATCATAGTGCGTAGAACTATAAACTAAAATGGCCGGGCAACATTGACATTAACACTCATAGCCTATAAATACCCGGCCATTGATACAGAGAGAAAAAAATCAAGTTTTTGTGTAACATATAATAAATTATGGGAATTCATTGATATAAAAATCATCACAATAACTTTAGAGGCGTACGTTTACATATGACTAAATCCCTAGTTTTCTATTTATGATATAAGTTTCACTTTAAGGTCGCCAGCAGTTTAATCTATCGTTTTCTGCCAAACTTTGTCATACATTTTCAACTTTATCGTATTGGTATAAGATTGAAAATTCAATTTTTGTTGTTTGTTATCGTCAGAAGAAAATGGGTTTGCGCGTACGAAGTCGCGGGCAGAAACTAGTTACTTATATTATTGTAATGTAAAAGGGATATGAATTGTAAAGGTACAATTTACGGTTCATACGGTAATCATAGTATACTATAGTGAATTTTAAATTACATTTAAATAATTATGTTTTATTATACGTTACATAAAAACGAGAAACATTGAAAAAATATGGACGTCTCACACGAACGCGGCACTTCTACGAAATATAAAATATTATATGAAAGACACACCCTGTTTTTTTTGCAAATGAGAACAAAGCGTTTTAATACAGACGCAAAATTTATTTTTGTGTGCAATAAAATTATGTGTCAATTTAAATTATATATATTATTTATGAAACCTTTTTTTAACAATATATCTAAGAGACAAAACGAGGTATATGGTAATCCATAATTCTCCTGTATAATTTTGAAAATAATGCTTAATTACGTAGTATATAGTACCTATTTTATTATAATATTGCATCATAAAAAAGCGAAGGGTTTTTGTAGCCTAAACACAATTAATAGTTTTTGAAACTAAAAAACATATTGTATATAATTTTGTTTTTGAAACTTTTTAATTTTTATTGCATTTAAAAGAAATTATAACAGAACACGAATGAAAGTTTAACTTCAGTATAATTTTATTGCACTTGTTTTAATAGAAATATAATTTAATTTTGCGCCCTTATTAATTTCTGATACAACAAAATAACATGGAAAACACGATCTTATGTACTATTATCACTAAAAAACAATAACAAAAAATGTCCATAAGTAGCTAAAGCAATATTTTTTCTTTTTTATACTTTTTTTTACGTTCATTTTTCAATTCATTTTTATATACATTTATTATTCGGTGGTTGTTTTTACATAAATATTTTTAATGAAAAATAATGTCTTTTTTTAATAAATTTTCTAATGTATTTTATAATTCGATAATTTTCAAGTTTAGTTATATTTTAAAACAAAATCAAAATGTCGAGTATTAATAGAAAATTTTAGAAAAGAATAAACAATTACTAGAACACTTCGAGAAGTCAGATAATTAGTAATTTATAGACAAAAAATAGACAAACAACTTCTAAATCAGATCTTAAACAAAAGGTAGAAAGATGGACCCTTTTTTTGATAATTCTGATACGATTGTTTTTGCTCGGATCATCAGTTATGTGTGTGAATAAGTCTACTTGTGTAGAACATGATTTAACCCCAAGAGGGAAAGGTAGAGGTCCATATATTACCCGTGGCATAGTATAATTCTTGACGAATAAACTGATGATCGTTGTCAGCAAGCTAAGCATAGCGAAATATTTAAACACTTGAGTCTAATAACCCTAATTTCAAAGTTCATGACGAGCCAAACACAACCGTATTAAAATTACCATAAGAATTTTCCATCTATCTAAAAATACAATGTGATATCAATCCCAAGCCTATTGATTGAGGAAAAATACGCTTTAACTCTATTGTTATAAAATATAAAATCACATTTTTAACCTGTGTTCGCACGTGTGGAGCCGAGTACATACTGATAAAAATTACCTACAGGGGTAGGGAAGGGAACCCATTTTACATTCTTTGACACCCATTTCATACTTAATTTTAAAGTGAAATAAATAAAGTGTCGTGTAATAGAGGAAGATAAGAAAGTAATAATTAAATTGAGGACATTTGTCCTAAATGATTTAAAAGTCAAATTATTTTAATTCTAAAATGTCAAAATAGAACTGTTAGTTAGTCTATCAGTGAAGCTAGTTGCTTAAGAAAAATAATTCCTAAGTAAACGTCTGGTCCAAAATTCAGAATAGCTTAAAATCAGGGAAATTAATGTCAACAAAACCTTATAATAATCATTAAAAATTTTCCATCTCGATTGCTGTCATTGTTTTGTATTATCAAAATTGTACAATTTTGAGTTATGGTAGAACTCCACTATAATAAACATTTTATATAAGATCTTATTGCCACTTGTTATAAATAATTAGTGAATTTTAAACCAGTACGAAGTAGGCGGGGCGTATTTTTTTTTTAGATTTTTACATCGATGTCGATGTAAATTAGTAAATAAATAAATATGGTGTAGTGTAATTTATCAGTGTGTACGCGACTCAGATATTCCAGGCTCATCACTGGTTATTCTGAATCAAGATGTTTGTTAATATATCAGGTGGAAAAATACTAATAAAAAACAAAACGTCATTATATCTAATTTAACTTTCGCATTACATATTTTGCAAACATTGTAGATACACGGGGATGAACACGGTTTAATAAGTTCGTGATAGCAGTATAAAATACACCGCCCATACTCGTCTTGCCAAAAAAACAAAGTTGTCGGAAAAGCCAACTAAATCCTAATCTAAAATCTGTATGATTACTATTAATTTTTGGCAGACTATTGTCAAAAATTGATCTTCACTAGGAGCATAGATATACGTGAGACATAAAGAGTTTTCTATTGTGTCTCATATACAAGAGGTTAATCCACAGATTTATGTAAGTAAGGAACTACAGATTTGACAGGGACTG